GAATTTTTATCAACCGATATTGTTGTGATAACTTTATTATGCATCATTTATAACGCTACTGTTCAGCCAATTATTATTCTCTTCATGATATCCACCAACATGCAGGCAGACCCTTACTTTCTTATAATTTGAATGAATCTGTGAAATTTTAACTTCTTTTTTTGAAAGCCTTATGGATTTTTACGAAAAAAAAAGAAAAACAAACACATAAAGCCTTATGGATTTTTCGTTGATCAATTTCAAAACTTTTCAAGATCAAATCTCCGCAGTATTTTTAAGCCAGTGAATGATTCATTAGTAGTTTTAATGAGTGAATCAGTTCTGAAATCGAAGATTTCAGTGACGATTTCAGAGTTTTTATGGTGTTCATTGTTGGCAAACAAAAACAAAGAAATTTTAGAGAACAGTTTGCTGGAATGAAGTCAAAGACAGAAAACAGTTTTCAGATATTTGCAACGATCATTCTGCTCACAATGCATATTTGTCGTTGTTTTTCGATTATATCACCGTTCAAAATCGCCTCACTACCATTCATCCTAACTGTGGCTATATTCCAAATGGGTTCACTGCTTTATCTTCACGCGATTTTCATTTTCATTTCGTTCACTCTCTCTGGTCTCCTTTACGGATCTCTCAAAACAATTTTTCAGTTGAGTGTTCATTTTATCGACGTTTTTCAAGTTTTCCATTTTTTCCGAACTGAATGAATGATTTTTATACCGAAATACATTCGACCTTTATTCGATCTGTCCCCCATAGGTTGACGTTCATTTGGCAGTTTCGTGAAGTGCACTGATTCCGTTACTTAAAAATCTTTACCTTCAAATTATGATTAGTTTTAACTGTTGCATTGTTATTTTTAGGCGCATACAGCGTTCATAGCAAAACGTAATTTATTCTCGCAAATGAAATTCGCTCATAATTCGAATCGTATGTTCACGATGTTTGCACTTTCAAGAGCTGTTGAATTAACTGGTAACTTGCTCGGCTTTGTGGTGATTGCCGGTACGAACTCCTTTCTGTTGATTACCTTCACTATGCTTCATTCATTCATCAAGGATAAAGCTATCCGTTTCATAGCAACTTTTTTGAACACATTAATCCAGATCAGTTGTCCCTGAAGCCAATTCTGATTAATTGAACCAGCAATATTTCAGTCATCCTCAGACTATAAATTATGCACAGATATGCCATCGTGAATTACTAGCAGATATATGGATTGTTACCGGTTCACTGGATGCAAATAATCAGATAAAACATTGTGGCAAATGAATGAAAGAGTACAATTTGCAGTGACATTCTCATCTCAGAATGCTTCCACGCATAAAACTGAAATTCCGTGTGGCCGAGATTTCTGTTTCGAAATCAATCCACCGAGTTTGAGCGCATCAGTATCACCAATAACAAATCTATTCGCCATCTACAATCGCAATTTCATTCACATCGCTGCACAGGTCACTGGCTATTGCATACTATTCTCAAAGATGTTCATCAGTAACAGATGTTACTCCAATAAGCTATTTTAACGGATAATATGAAGGATAGAAGGTTGACGAATGTGAATGCTTTCAGTTTACGTTATATTCACTGTTATGTATCGCTGTTTTTATTGCGGCAATACCCCTCCGATCGACACACCTCATTTTCAATAATCTGGCTTCAGATCAATCGCCAATTGATATACTTGCGGTTCGTTCAGCAACTTTCCGTTCAAAATCAGAATCTGTCTCACCTGTTTTGTCGGTTACGACTGATAATATAAGCAGGCTCATAATTGTTATTGATAAGTTGTCATTGAACAAGGAATTTACTGGTAGCACGTTCAACATATATAAACAGAAAGGAGGTGCTAAGGAGTTCTTTAGTCAGCAATTACACTCACTACGAGTTTATACCTTTCTGGTGAAATAGTTTTGCCTTTATGTCAGCAGTTAGAGGCACTGCACATCGTTTGGCTTGGAGTTTGCAATTGTGAGAATTTTATTCAAATGAGAGAATAAATTGATAAAATCGATGAACTTCGACCATTTTCGAGATCAAATTTCGTTTTGAAATTTCAGAAAAGTTCATTGAATGACATCTTCCCGTTACCTTTGGCAAGTGGCTACTTGGAAGTATTCATCTTTTACGAAATCTCCAACGCAATAACTTATTGTGTGACACATAACATTCTGACCGTATGCACAATATTCATATTCACCATTCTATTCATCACAATTTTCATTTTGTTCATCACTATTATCCTCACAAATGAGGTCTCATTGGATGCCATACCGCTATTCTGTGCTATACTCACAGCTTATGGGTAATAATACTATCGTTTCGTTTCGTCTGCTTTAATTTTTGCTTTCATAATGTTGAAAAATATTTCAGTGGTCGGATGATAGGTCAATGGATGAAACTTTTCGGAACGCATTTTCTTTCTATATTCCTCTGAGTCGAATTGGTTGTTTGTTTTCTGCTTTTGCTGTGCGATAATTTCACAAGTGCCAAATACGACGGTAACAAAGAATACAAAGGTTGTTCTCAAATACTTTCAGATGTATGACAATGCTGTGGTTCTGGCGTCCAAAAAGCGACGATTCACCAATGCTTTACATAAGTTTATTTTCATCGTTGATTACGTCGATTGTCTTTACACTCGTCTC